TGCGGCGCTGTGCTACCTGCTGGCCTCTGTACCTACGGTACAGGGACGCGGAGAGAAGTCGCTGCGTCTGCTGAAGGGAGTGCTTCACCTCGACCCCAGCCACCTGCTACGCGAGGGATGCAGCTGCAATAGCCAACCTGGGCCATGATTTCATGTCCCGCGCAGTATATATATGTGTGTATATATATATATATGCTTTGTTTCTTTCTGCTTGCGATCTTTTATTTAATTTTGTAGCATGCATCTCGCCAGTACATTATAAAAGTGCAGAGGGGTGGGGAGTTTATTGGGTGTGTGTTCAGTTAGTTTTTGCCTTTGCTTACCTCACCCTGCTGTGTGTATTTTGTTTTTGTAGGGGGCTTGTTTTATCACCACTGTGGACTTGGCCACCGTTACATTTTTCTGCTTGTTACGTACGTGCGTGCGTGTATGGGGGGAGAATGTTTTTTTTTTTTTTTTTGTCTGTCAAAGGCGGAGCGCTCGTTTGCGCCTTTTGTTTCTAGTGCGGTGGCTTTGTGTGGGGCCAAGTTGGACATTTTTTTGCCAATTCACTCGCCTTCTTTTTTTTTTTTTGTCTTGCTTTCTCGCCTCCATGGTTGTCCTCCCTTTCCCTTCTCTTTTTTCACATGCACACGCACACACAGGCGTCCAGGTTCTCCTGCTGTGCGGTTTCCTCCTCGTCATGGATGTTGTTCTTCGGTCACGTGCACTTCCTCTTTGCTTTCTGTTTTCCCTCTTCTTTTTTGTCGTGTATGTTGTGAAGCATGAAGGGGGGCAGGACGTATTCATCTGCGTGTCACCCTTAGTTACGCCTAGGGCCGTTGTTTTTTTCTTTTTTGTTTTTATTATTGTTGTTGCTCTCTGTCTCGGGGCAGGTGGGGAGAGAGAGCCATGTTCGAGATTCTTCTGGAGGTTGCGTTTAGTATCCTTATTTGTGCCATCTTGGGCTACCACGTCTTCCTCAGCGTCTCCGTGGAGCGCACCGTGGGTGAGGAGGGTGATGCCGCTGCAGGAGGCCGTCACGGGGGCGGCGCGGGCGGTTACAACTCGCGGAGTCCGTCACCGCTTGGGCAAAGCCGCAAGTGCGAGGGGGCGATGTGGTGCAACGTGCTTGGACGATGGGTGGCCCTGCTCGTGCTGGGCGGCGGCTCGATTGACAAGGATGTCTGGACCGACCGCATTGCCTACTTCATTGAGAAGGGTGCAAAGCGGATTGACGGAGCAATAAAGCAAAGAGAAACGCGAGGGAGAGGAACCGCAGGCGGGGAAACGGGAGGGCGAACGTTGCGCTTGAGTACCGACTGTGTCCGATTGCTGCGCCTTGAGCTTGGGGGCGGTAGGCCTTTGAGCGGTGCGTTAAGCCCGCAGCAGCAACCACCGTACGGCGCGACGCAGCAGGTCTCTGGGTTAAATCACGCGCGGACAAACAGCGACGGCGTCCGTGCAGGTTGTATCCACTCGGAGTCGTCCGACGGCGCTGGTGCGGCAGCACCACTAATCGGTGTTGTCTTGCCACGCATAGCGCCTGCTGGAATTGTCTCGCTGGAGGCTCCATACACCGCAGTGACGTCTGAAGCGGCAGCAGAGGGTAGCGCAGCAGCGGCCGCAGCTACAATCCCAATGGGAATGCGGCAGTCGCTGCGGTGTTTTTCGGTGCCCCTCATATACGAGGACCACCACTTTGCGTTGCTACTGTTGTGTAATATTCCATTGTTTTTGGCGCTGCCTGCGGAGCTGAAAATTCCGGCGGATGTCTTGACGCTACGGTGTACCTTGTCCGTCCGTCGGGTTATCTTTAACGGCGTGCTGTACGCTGCCTTTTACGGTAACCTGGTGGAGCTTAGCTTTGCGCGCGAGCCGCAATTCACCGCCTCATTCGACGTTTCCTCTTCGAGGGGCCTTCCCCGACATCAGCCGAGGCCTCACCACGCGTACTTTTCTCAGGCCTCCCCCAGCAGCAGTGTTCGCGGTGTTGCTGGGGGAGAGGAGGTTGCCTCCCTCCCACCGCTGCCTCCATCCACAGCTTGTAACCCGTTGTCTGTGGGACACCGTTTCAAGGATAAGCTTCAGGAAATCGTCGACCTGGCGGTGAAGCGCTCCGTGCAGTCCATCACGTATCCGTGCGTCCTGCAGGGCGTGGTGAGGTCGAGTCGAATACTGACACCTAATGGTGGGGATGCCAGCGACGATCTTTCAGCGACGCCTCACGGCGACGGGCTAGTGACGTGGTCCTTGGCGAATGCAACTCTGCCGCTCTGCTGCTGACGGCCCGTGGGGCTGGCAAGAATGGCAATATTGTCACACGTCCCTCCGCGCCCACGTTGCCCTGCCTGTTTGCTTGCTTTATTGGTGGTTGACAGTGGTCTTCCCTGCCTTGTTTGCAGCATCTCTGCATCATGTCATTGCTATTTTATCGTGGCGCTGCGGGTGTCTCGCAACAACAACAGCAACCACTACTAGTACTACTACAGCAGCCACAGCAGCAGCAGGAACTGCAACAGGAAAAATAGAGGAAAAAAAAAAACTTGCACAACGCCGCTATCATTGCTTCGTCATCACGAGATTTCCTCCGTGGAACAGTGAATGTGGAGTTTTGGCAAAGGCAAAGAAATAACTGCACAGCCCCCATCCTCATTGCACAGACTGCGTCAGCACGTGGCGTATTCTAAATGTGGCCTCCTCACATCCTGCCGCCGCTGTTGTTTGGGCTCGTCTGTCGATCAGCGGTGGGCGGGAGGGTGTGTCCATGATTCCCCACGGCGTCGTTAGAGCTGCGCCTCCCGCTCGACGCACTTGGTCTCTTCTGTTGCCGCATATGTTTTTTTTTTTTTTATCCTCCTTCTCATCCTCTCACGTGCTCTGTTTTTATTCGTGTCAGTGCAAGAAATGGTCTTTTATATACGTATTGCACTCGTTCTCTTACTGCGTCTGTTGTCAGCCAAAAGAAAATAAAAGGGTAAAACGGCGGGGCTGTGGCCTTGGCGGTGTGCGGCCGTGCAGTAAAATGCGGGTTTACTGTCGGTTCGCACCACCGTGCGCGCTTGCGACATCGAGTGTGGAGCACGAGAAGCCGGACGCACACGCATCTTTGCTGCCACCCCCCATGCTGCTGTTGTCGCTGCGGGGAGACAGTGGAGGCGGACAACACACAGTTATACTGGCAGACCCTCGCACCGGCAGCATGGCCTCGTCTACGTGTCGCCGTGTCTTCCTCCCTCCGTGTATGCCGCCCGGTGTAGGCGGCGCCCCGCTGTCAACCACCGATGCGTCCCCATGCACGGCAAAGGGGAAAAATCAACAGGAGGAACTGTTTGACGAAATTGTTCGTCCCTTGTTGGGTGATTTGATTTCCGGCAAGCCGTGTACGTTTCTTGCCTACGGGCAGACAGCAACAGGGAAAACGTATACGATGTTTGGGCCGAACGCTGGCGGCGACGACAGCGCTCCTCGGCGGCAGAAAAAAGAACTTGGAATAATTACGCGTGGTGAAGCCGACACACTTGGTCAGGAAGAAGAGGAAGAGGAAGAAGGAATTGTACCGCGACTGCTCCGTGCCATCTTTGTCGCACCTGGTGCTGCTGTTGAGCAGCAACGACCCGTCGTTGCTGCGGTGGATTTATCGTGTCTAGAGGTGTACAACGAATGCGTTACCGACCTGGTGGCTCTTTTGCTGCAGCAGCATTCAAGGAAGGCAGCTACTTTCAAGAAGAAGGACAGAAGCTGCGGCGCTGTGTGCGACGACGTTGTCGGCGAGGCAGCGTGGCAGGCGTGGCTGCGGTACGAGCAGCGGGGCCGCCCGGAGGAGGGGCGCGGCACCTTGTGGAGCTCAGCATTTGAAACGACGGCGCCGCTCGGGCCCGCTGCAATGGAGGCGGTGCCACAAAAGGTGATGTACAGGGCGACTGAAAAGGCAAAAGTGATGCGGTCTGTGCTGCGACTTCGGTGTGAGTCCGCGGCGGAGTGCGGTGCCCTGCTGCGCGAAGTGCTGGCGCTGCGAAATCGCAGCCAAACAGAGCGGAATCTCCGTTCCTCACGGAGTCATTTAGTGCTGCGGCTTGGGCTTCGCGGTGCTGCGGAGGGGGCGGACCCAATTGGCGAGTCTGTTTTTGTCGACCTCGCCGGGTCAGAGACGTACCGGGATCAGGTGTGGGCTGCTGGCGACGTCGCCACGGAGTATGACGCTGCCATGGCGCTCCCATCGCCGCTGCAGGCGTCGCTGACCGATGCTCCCCTCGCGGCGTCAACCTTCACCTCAAACCGTTGCGACAGCAGTGGTCTGACGGCGGTGCAGCGCGGTGTCCTCCGCACATGCGAGATGCGGCACATCAACGTTTCCCTTCTAGCGCTGCGCAAAGTGGTGCGGGCTCTTCAAGCCGCCACCGCTTCCGCCTCCTCCACTTCTTCTTCTTCCTTTTTGTCGTCTGTCAGGCGTGTTCCTTTCAGAGACAGCATGCTCACCACCATCCTGGAGCCGTTTCTTACCCCTGGCGCAGCGTCGGCCGTGACGTGGGTGGTGTGCTGCTCATGCAGACAGTGTGACTTCCACGAGACCGTAGAGTCGCTCCGCCTGGGCGCAGAGGCCGCCGCCACAGCCACATGTGTGCAGCTTTGCCCACCCTTTCCTTTTGCGCGTGTTGCACAGGAAGGTGATAGGGGCAGTGTGGCTAGCAGCAATCGAGGCACCAGCGTAGAGGCGCTAGTGGGCACAAGAGATGCGCCTCCTGATCGAAACGTGTCCCAAGCAGATATTGCGGCAACTGGCCCCGTTATTCAACGGGGCCGCGGCAAGACGCTTTTCGACCCAGCGGTGGTGGCATTGTCCGTGGAGGGGTCAGGTGGTGGCCGTTGTCGATGTTCAGGTGATACGGAGGAACACAACGGTAGCGAGGGAGAAGGGAGAGACGAATTGGCGGCATACAAGCAGTACGCACTCCAGCTACTTGAGCAGTGTACGACACTATGCGAACGCTACGATGAGTGTGTGGGAGAACTTGTCCGCACCAAACAGGCCATGGCGTCGCGCGACCGCGAAATCGACCGGCTTCGGAAGGCATTGACAGAAAATGGCGGTCAGCAGAAACTCTTGGAGGGGCCAGCGTCACCGCCATTGCCGACATCCATCGCACCGGATGAGAACCTCCCGCCGGAGCCCCCTGCATGGCTGCGCAAAGGTGTGATGTCTTCGAAAAGGAATGATATCGCGTCACTGTTGTGCGGTAGTTGCGCCGTGCAGAAGAAGCCATCACCCGTCGTCACAAGCGAAGCAGTAGACGTGGTGGGGGCTGGCGCAGAAGAAGTGGCAGCAGCAGCAGCAGAGGAGGATCTGTTTGTGGAATCTATCCTTAAGCGTTGCTGCGTTCAACACGATCCCGCACCTGTTGCTTGTAAACCTAGTGAGGCCTCCGTGCGGGATGGCAAGCGCAATGCACTGTTATTGACGCCCTCTGTTTCCACCACCATCGCCACGACGAGTGGTGAGGTGGCAGCTCCTTCCGAGAGTGCCTACAGCATGCGAACCCCGCACCGCACAGGAGGAGGTTCTTCAAGTCTTTTGAAGGGGCAGAATCGTCGTGAGCACGTTGTGTCATTTGTTTCCCCCAGTAGTCACGGCGCCGTGCCGCTGACACAGCTGGCGGAGAACCGTCACCCGCGCCGGATGTTTCCTCCGCCATCACGTTCTGCGCTTTGCATTCAATCGACTGTATCGCAGAGGAAACCACCGTTCGAGGCCCTTGTCACCGCAGACACACAGGCAATTGCTGGAGCACATGCAGACGGTGATGTCAGAATTCTCCAGCAGTTGCTGTTGCGGGGTGCAGCCCTTGTTGGAGGGGCTTCGCAGAAGCCCCTCGTTGAGGAAGGCAATGAAGAAGAAGCATGATTCTGATGGTGCCTGGTGCTCACTCTGAATACCAGTTGCAAGGTTTACCGTTGTTAGTTGATGTTTGTTCGTTTGTTTGTTTTAGAATCATTTTGCTCGCGATGGACGTCTTCTCGCTTTGTGCGTGGGTGGGTGGGTGGGGAGGGGAGTTTTGTAGACGAGTCAGTCACCTATGATTTCACCATGTGTATAAGGAAAGGAAAACAGTTGTAGTAAACATGGGAATTGAGAGATGAAGTGGTTGCAGGTGCGTGGGTGTATGCGTGTGTGTATCTTCTTGGAGCACAATGGTGCGGTGGAGAAGTGGAAGTTGCCGATCGTGCCTTTTCTTCACTTTGACTTGTGCGTTGTAGAGTGCTCCTTGCTTAGGCGTTACTCCTGGCACCATGACGTTTGTCTTTGAGGCCCGACGTCTTCCCTTTGGCGACGGCGTGGGACCAATGTACGGCCCAAGTCCCATGGATCCCGGCAGCATGGATGCAGCACGGCTGAACGGGCTCCCACGGTGGAAGCGGCGACTGTTGCCGCATGTGTTAAACGTTGTGGAACAGTTTTACACCCCCGCCGCGTCGCTGGAACTGGACGCTGAACTGCAGGGCTGGACGGTGGCGCTTCGCATTGTGGAGGAGCTGCCGGAGCTGGAGATGGCCTACAGCCGTATCCTGGAGTTTCGTAAGCGACAGCGCGCGGGCGATATGACGGAGGAGGAGCTGATGATGGAGGAGCTGCTGCGTGAACGCATGGGCAGCGACTACTGCAGGGATACAGACGACGACATCGACATTGCCATGTGCTTTAACGTGGACGGCGCGGTGGTGAGCATTGGCTCTGCCGACATGTTTGGCGGCCACGGCTATCATGCGATGCGGCAGCCGTGATGGTGGTGGTGGTGGATGGCCGGCCAGCAGCCCTGGCGATGCGAAACGGTGCCACTTAACTAACTGGTGGGGGGAAGAGCACCGACGGCGGCAGTGAAAGATGGAAGGAAAAAAAATCGTTTGTTTCTTTACTTCTTCCTGTTAAACCTCACTGCGTCCCTCTAGATGCCACTGTCTGTCTATGTGGTGCAAAGGCCATCCGCGTTGGAGGAGGCTGCGGGAGTGTCAATTGCCCTGTTGCTCCCTTCTTCCTCCTCCTCCTCCTCGCCTCCTCCTAGTGTCAGGGCCGTGTGTTGCTCTCAACTGCGTGGGAGAGTGGGCTGTGCGTGGGGTTCTCGCTCGCTCTCGACGGTGTGGGGCTGGCTCAGGTAAAGCCGTAAGTTAAAGCCGAAAAGGGAAAAAAAGCGAAGACGGATTTTTTTTAAAAAAAAGTGGGAGTCACGCAGCAGCGGACGACAATTAAGAGTAGAGCGGACACCTTTCTCTTTCTTTCTCTCTCTCTCTCTCTCTCTGGCAAACGTTTCAGTGACGGCTGTGCATGGACTCAGGCGCGCCAAAGGGTGCGTCGCAGATGGCCCAGCCAACCTCGCTGCGGCAGGGAAGCGGCGCTGCTGTCCCGCACGAGCAACAGCGGCTGGAGTCATCGCCTCACACATCGGATCCGGGAAAGTCAGCCATGCGTCGCGGCGACAGTTCACCCGCCTCGATACCACCACCACCACCATTGCGGTCTTCGTCATCGTCTCTCTTCAGGGACACAAGGCACCACCTTCTCTTGAGAGATACGGTAGGTGGCAGCGACGACGAGGAAAACGAAGATGGGAGTGGGGCGGGCCGTTGTGTTTGCTTGCTAGAACCAACGCCCCCACCTGCAGGTGGGGGTCTCTTCGAGGCGGTGCATTTGGAGCCACCGCCGCCACCACTACAGGCACAACAACCACAACAGCAGCAGCAGCAGCAGCTGTCAGCTGATGAGAAGCGAGCGGCTTCCGATGCAAATGCTGCCTCGTTCGGGAGGACACATGTCAACCTGCGAGGGATGGAACCCAAGCCGCCCCTTGCAGCAACACCCGCAGTAGCGTGTGATACACACGCGAGTTACAGCACTGGAGCAAGACGAACGTTGCGTCTCTCGCGTCGCCCCTCCGCCGTAGCGGCGACAGAGGAGCAAGGGAAGCGACGTGAAACACTTCCTTTGACAACGGGAGGAGGAGCCACCGTACAGGCCGGTAATTCCTTGATTCCAGCGCTCCCTCAACAGCTGGACGTTGCGAGGGCAATGGCGGGGTCTAGCAGTGAGGTACGGGAGGAAGCGTCGAGGGTTGGAGGCATGTTCCAACAGCCGCCGTTGGTGGGGCCTCCCACGACAGGTCCGACGAACTTGACGGGGGAAGAGGCCCCACCAACGGCGAAGCGTCAGCGTAATTCCACAGATTGGGGAGAATTGATGTCGCCCACCCCCACACCGCAGGGTATGTACAGCTGTGGTTGCTCGCCGAGCGTACGACGCCACAGCAGGACGGGCGTCCCTTTGCCCTCCGGCCCCACCCCGATTGACTTCAGTTCAGTAACTGACTATGTCGAGACAAAGTACGAGGTGAAGGCAAAAATCAGTGAGGGGACCTACGGCGAGGTGTACGTTGGACGCTGCCTTGCTACCGGAGAAACCGTGGCGTTAAAGCGACTGAAGGTGCTCCATGGCCTGGATGGATTTCCAATCACGTCGCTTCGAGAAGTCATCGCCCTACGACACATCAATAACGCTCGTGAAAACGCCATCACTTCCGAGACGGATAGCAGCACCAAAAAGGACCCCATTGAGGAGGTGATAAGTCTGCGGGATGTGTTATTGTCGCGCACGTCTCATGACATTTATCTCGTATTTCCGTATGCGTCGTGCAGCATCGCAGGTTTGCTTCAGCGACGATTTTCCTTCACCGAGCGGGATATTGCATATGTGTTTACGAAGCTTCTCAGGGCCTTGACGAAGTTGCATGCTATGGGCATTATCCACCGTGATGTCAAGGCCGACAATGTACTGATGAACTACGATGGTCAGGTGCGGCTTGGGGACTTTGGCCTCTGCGTGTTTGAAGGGTCGGGTCGGCGCGCCCTAACGCCGAGTCTTATCAACCTCTCCTATCGCCCACCGGAGATGTTGCTGGGAAGCACCTCTTACGACGTCAAGGTGGACATCTGGTCCGTCGGCTGCTTTCTCGCCCAAATGTATCTGCGCACCCCGCCGTTTTTTCTCGCCAACCGACGCCACGCAGCTGATGGCGGTCCTGCAAGAGGCGGCCACGTGGGCGGGCGTCAACAGCAGCCGCAGGACAATTATCAACATCGGCGGGCGGAGATGGAGCTGGAGCAGCTGTCGCTTATCACTGATGTTCTCGGGCCGCTCTCCAGTGCCAGCCCTGATGCCTTTCCACAGGAGCTGTGTCAGCGCTCCGCTCAGCTTGAGCAGCTGCGAAAGGCCCTTGCCACCACTTCCGCCTCATCCTTGTCCTCCTTCACCCCATCGCTTGGCTCCCTCTTTCAGCCGAGTTTTCTCTACATGGAGTTTCACGGGTTTGCGGCGTGGTTTATGGCCACGGCGGAGCACCGCCGCCGCGACCCCTCGCATCTGCTTCCATCGAAGGAATGCGTCGATGTGCTGACGGCCATCTTCCAGCTTGACCCACGCAAGCGACCGACAGCGGCGCAGCTTCTGGAGATGCCTTTCTTTGACCTTCACCGCAGCGCACCGCGGCGAGTCGCAGCGCACGGCGGACTGAATAAAGAACGGCTCTCCGAGAATGAACTTATTGAGCGGCACATCCAACGCGAGATTTCCGAGAAACTGCTGCGGTACCATGACAGTCACATTGCACCGACTACAGAGAGAGGCAAGTAACGAGGTAAAGAAGAGAGAGGGGGATTAATATATGTGAATGTATGAATGGGTGCCCGGGCAGGATAAAAATGGCTGCTGGATTGCGTCTGTGGAGGGAGCGCAAACAAGGGCGATTGATGCTAAAAGGAATGATGGAAAAGTGGTGGGTGGTGGGCAGGGGAAACAATGGAGAGAGAGAGAGACGTCATGACGGCGCCCACTGCGGCAGCACGAAGGGGAGAGACAGCAAGGAGGAAAAATCTCGTTTCTTTGTTTTGTCTGTTGTAACTGGTAACACTGAGGAAGCGTGTCGTGGTGGTGGTGGTGAGTGGCACTGGGGAAATGTCTGTTTGTGCGCGTGCATTCATGTAGACATGCATGTGGTGACAAGTGGCGGCCGCAGTTGGGGTGAGGCGGCGGAGGAAGTCAAGGAAGGAAGGAAGGAACTGGACGGAGGGAGATGCATGTACGCAATGCACGAGACGAGACGAGGAGTAGACGGAGATCGTAACTTCAGCATTTTATTTTTAAAAAATAAAATAATAATAAACAAAGAAATTTGACAAATACGTCACGCATCACTGACTTCCCTCTTCTCTTACACTTGCCGGCCTCCGTTGCGCATGTCCTGTTTCTCTTCTTCTCTTTTTTCCTTCCTTATTGTCGTTGTTATTACTGTGGATGAATACTGTTCGTTCTGCGGTTTGTCACCGGCCTCAAGTCCACATATATATATATATATATATATATATATATATTGCACCTGTCTGAGCTGCGTGTGAGTTTGTGGATGGGGATATGCAGCCACACGCATGCATTTCTATACGTTTATAGACGTGCATGTCTATTGGGGATGTTTCCAATGGTCCACTTTATTATTAGTTTTTTTTTTCTGTTTTTTTTTTTTCTTCCGCTTTGGCGCCTGTGGTTTGAAGGTCTTGTTTTGTCGCAGGAGTGAGGCCCTCCCATCCCCTCTCACCCCTCCCCTGTCTTGCTCAGATTGCTCCTCTCCACACATTCCTCTGGATCTTTTCTCTGTGGTGTTGTTTGCCCACGTTGGCCTGCTGCTTCGCTGGCGCCTCCACCACCTCCGCACTTTCTCTCACCCTTTGTATGTCCGTGCGGTGGCGCAGGGCGGCACACGGAGGTGGGCACATCGCATTAGTGCCGCCGCGTCGTGTGGCAAATAGAACCCGCACATAGAGAAGAAAGGTAAAGTAAGAAAAAAGAAAAAAAGGTTCGTCCGTGCGTGTGTCTTTCTGCTGGGAGCAAAACAAAAAAAAGGGGGGGGCGGAGGCGCGTGCTTGCCCGCTTGTCTTCTTTGGTGCGTAGCGACTGGGCCGGGTTTATCGCTTCGTTGCCGCAGCCCACCTCCTTCGGTAGCTGAGAGCCTCTCAACAGTGGGCAGCGGGAACGGAAAGGCTGTTGCTGTTGTTGTTTTTACGCTTAGTGATCTTCTTTGGACGCCCTTCCTACTTGCGTCTCTGGTGGTGGCTAGCATACACCACTCACCCCGGCACGGCTGCTTCCTCCACTGGCAAAACTTAGCCCGCCAGTAGGAACGAAAGAGAGGCACTGCCGCCGCCTCTCGTTGTGTGTGTAGTTGTTGTTATTGTTATTGTTAGGGCTATTGTTGTCATCGTTTATCTGAAAAGGTGCAATGAGGGAAAAGAAACTGACGCCGCGGCAAAGGCGCACCCATTGTTTTATTGGATTGGGAATCTTTTGCGCGATATTTATGGCGGTGTTCATTTCAGTCCCCATCGCACTGTATGAGGCCAGGCATCAACGCATGCGGGATGCAAGGTGGCGCGAGGAAGTGACTGAGGCTGAAAAGCTGGTTTCAGTGTTTACTGACGCCATGAACGGCGTCATTTCCACGGTGTACGCGCACGAGGGACTTGTCATGGGTTCCATAAAAGTCATACCGCCATTTAACGCCTCAGTGGAGGCGCGAACTAAAAATCAGAATTTTCCCGGATTCAACCTAGTTGCCTCCTACTTCAACTCCTCGCAGCATTTGGCGTTGCAGGTCCTTGCCCCAGGCGGCGTGGCGCTGCACCTGTTCCCGATGGTAAACACCATCCTTATGAGGGATTTTCTGAATGACTATAGTATGGGCTCGCCCACGCCAATCCAGACAGTGGACACCGCACGGACTGCCGTGTTGGGTCCACTGTACAACTCCCTTCCTAGTCTTAATGCGCTATGGCAACTGTTTGTGCGTGGATCAATCTACAACGCCACAAGAGTTGCGGATGAGACCAGAGTGAATTTCTGGGGATTCTCTATTGCTGTGCTGAGCCTGGATAGCCTGATGGATGAAAATCTACGTGGAACGCATTTCTGGAAAAATGAAATGGAATACCTCATCTACACCACTGATGAAACATCGCAGCGCATCATTCCCATTCGTTTTTCGAGGGGAAAAAATCTTACAGATGAGGGGTTTAGGAAATTTATTGAAACCGGAACAACTAGATCGGTCTTGGGATCATCCCGTGCCTGGTATGTATGCATGCGAGGAAATCATCAGGACAATAACCCTACAAAAACGACTATTGCCCTCATTGTCGTCTTCGCTGTGCTGCTTTCTATCCTCATATTTACCGGCGGTGCCTCCGCTGTGTTGCTGTGTCTAAAAGAATATGACGGAGTTGCTCATGCTCCCAAGGTGACACCTTTTGCATTGGCCGTTATTGGTCTTTGTAATGCGGAACGGTTGTGGGAGTTGGCACCAGATCATATGCTAGTGGTTTCTGAGCGATTGGCAGCGCTGCAGCGGCGACACATTATTCGTCATAATGTCTACGAGGCAATGCAGTTGCACCCGTATAGTACCACGGTTGCCGCACGTTCAGTAGATGCGGCAGTGCGGATTTGTTTTTCTCTTATTGAAGAATTGCAGTCCCAACCGATTGATGAACCGCTTCGGGAATTGTTGGGTGAGGATGGAAGTATATTTATTGCCTGTGCGGTGCATTGGTGCATGGACGCCACGGTACGAGTAGAGAGCAGTAGCGACACCGTTCGCTACGAGGGGCCGGATTTGGTCTACTGCGGTCGGATGTGGATGTTTGCCGCACCAAACAAGGTCACTATCAGCCGCGCCGCACGGGAGATGGCGCTGCAGATGGAAGGTGTACAAATCGTCCCGCTTGCGAGTGTCTTCCTACGTGGAGTGGAGAAGCGGCAGGAGTTGTTCACTGTCACCAACCCGCAAAGCAAGCGACTTGCACAGGCCTCCAGGTGCGCCGGTGAACGGGTAGGCCCCACCATGCAATGCTCCTCCCTTGTCACTGAACTTAGGCAGGATGACAATCCGCTTTCCCTTGGCAGGGAGGCCTTTGCCAGCGCCAGTCTGTGCCCCGTCAACGTTGCCGAGCTGCGTGCGGCGGCCTCCAGTGTCTCTTCCGCGGGGCTCGGTAAAGAGGTCGCCGAGGTCGGAGGGCGGCGTGGCGGTAATGGCGTCCGTGTTGGCGGCGATGACTCGCCTGAGCAATACCTGCCGGATGGAAAGCGAAGGCGCAAACATTCCAGCCAGTCCAATGTGCCGAAGACGCTCATTGAATTGCTTCCAACCGAGGCTGTTGAGATGTACCGGCTCTCGATGGATGAGAGCCGCACGCGAGCGCATTCGACCACAGCGGATGGGGAGCAACAGGGGCGGACGATAGTGAAGGGCTGCGGGCACGGCCCTGTGACGCGAGGCAGCACCACCGTTTGGAATATTAAAAAGGCCAGGCCAAATGAGAAAAACTCTGGAGCAAGTAGTGACACGGGCCATGTGGAGGATTCGCATGAGGGTGACATTGTGACGGAGGCAATGCGGCGCCCAATCATCCCCGCCTTTGTTGACGCCCATCTTCGCGCCATATTTGAGCGGCATGCTGTGATTTTGGACTTCAGCTACAACTCAGTCCGTACAGTCGTCTTCTACTTTTATTCTGCGTTCAAGCTGCTGCTGAAACCGCTCGCTGCACCTGAGCGCAACAACGTCTTTCGCCGCCTTGTCATTGCCTTTGGGATACCAAGCGAGAATGTCTTGGAACACCTTGCGGTGCGGTGTGTGCTGCGGTACATTCGGCAGTCGGAGGAGGTACGCTCAATGCTCTGGAACCGCGAACAGCAGATGCGACTGCGCTCGTTGGCGAAAAGTGCACCGACATCATTAGTGATGGTTGATAGTAGCAGCACGAATCCCGTGAGCGAAGACTCCTTGGTGGGGTCGTTGACAAATTGTCCTGCCGAACATGGCGGACCCAACGCGGAGGACAGTTGGCGGGATGGAAAGACGCAGGAATGAAAGTGAATAATAAGCACACGCACACACGCAAAGAAAAAGGAAAAATACGTTTTGTTTCCTACTACGCAGGGAGGTGGCGGGAGGGAGGAGGTGAGAAAAACGTTGAAGGCAAAGAAGACGAAGAAAAAAAAGAAAAAAAGGAAAAAAAGAAAAAAAAAATGGTGATAACGTAACGCGCCAATGATGGCAAGAGGGAATTACCTGCTCGGGTGGGGGGGGTGGGGAGTGAGTGAGTCCGTTAGAGTGAGAAAAAGTCCCGAGTGTGTGGATCCACCGGTCGGACCCGCTTCTCTCACTTTCTCCCGCACCGTCCTGCTGTACAACATATACAGCATTTTGCCAACTTTGCGAAACCAGTTCCTTCACCGAGTCGTTTTATTTGTGTGTCTGTGTACATATTGGTTTGTGTTCTTTTGACGTTTCGGTTTCCCGTTTGCGGTGCAAACAGGCGGGGAGAGGGCAGAGGAAAGCAACAGAACGAAGTAAATGTCAATGCGTGCATGCATAGTAAACACATGCGCACACACACGTAAACAAGTAAGTATATATTTGGATATAGATGTTTTTATATTTATTTTGATGAAAAAGTTAAATGTCACAAATCGAAATTGATTCTTGACGCAATACGACAGAGAGGCCACGTAAGACTGTTGATTCGGTCTTTGAGTTGGAGGTAATTTTTTGTTTTTGTTTTCTTTCCGTTTTAATGTTTGGGCACACGTATATGCACACACACGCAGAGAGAGTGGGAGAGGCGGAGTTACTGCCTTGACACGAGGAGGCTGCACGTAATGCGAAGACGGGCAAAAGGTAGAGGGCAACTAACGCCGGTGGCCGAGCAAACCCCCATCGGGCGGTATACGGAGCTGCACAGGCAGTTATGCGTGCATACTTTTGTGTGTGTGTGTTGTGTTTACTTCTATTCAGTGTTTGTTTGTGGTGTTGCAGCTGCATCCCTTCTTTATTGCTCCTTTTTTTTTTTGCTCATTTATTCCATGCTGGAGGTATTCCGTGAGAGCCGTGCAGATAGTTTTGTATTGCTTGGCCACACACACAGCCGCGCCCACGGTTCTACATGGCGGTGTTGTCGGCCTTGCGCAACGATGGGCATGCACGCATTACAAATATGCGTGTGCGTTGGTGTGGGGTCTGCGTGTTTTCCTCCACCTCTCTTTTCATGGGGGGAGTATCACATGCAGCGACGTCAAAGAAGCATACACTTGTGTGTTTGTTGTTGTTTTTTTTCTTTTTTTTTCTTTTTGATCTGTCTTGTTGTCGCCGCGCCACGCACTGCCGCAACCCACAACAACAAATAATTTTGAGTAGTGTTTAAGCGGGGTAGAAAAAGAGGGGGCGCACAAAGCGGCAAGGATGGTGCGGTGCAGAGGGCGAATCTCGCACGAGTGTCTTGTTCAGCTGCAGGTGGTCACTTCCCGCGGAGGAGGAGGGGCGAGCAAAGGGGCGGGGGAGGAGTCGTTGCCGCTGCTTGATGTGTCTGCGCTTTGCGAGGAGATTGGGTGTAGGATGCGTTTTTTGTGCGGCCTGGCGGTGGCGGCGAACGCTGCAGGGATTCAGGTGATGGGTGTGCGGCACGACACGGCTGGTGTGTACAACGTGGTGGTGCGTCTCCCACAGGCGTCGCCGTTGGCCGTGACGGCGCTGCGTGCGGCGTGTGCGTCGACGGCGCTGGGGCCCGTGGTGGCTGGGAGGGCGGAAGCGACGCGGCAGAAACGTGAGCGCCAGGAGGGCACGGCGATGACGATGCCCGTTGCGGTGCGGGTGCTTCACTTGAAGGGTGTTGCGGCGGCGTAAGTGTCGGCAACGTCTCGTTTTTTTGTTTTTT